GTTACATGGTTCACCACCACTGTTAAAGTGCGAGCAAGGTGCAACTACCATTTTCACATCCTTACTGCTTAAACTGTGATTTCTGAAGCAGTGTGTGTGGTATGTATACACCCACACGCAAGCTGTCATCTCTGGCAGATAAATGGCCTTTGTGTCCTGTGGTGGTACGGCAGGGCACATCTGTCCTTGCTGCGTACCAGAGGAGAGTGCAGACGTATGCAAACAAACCTGAATTTTTAACTGCACTGTATGTATTTTTATTTTGTTTTTAATATTTTTTTTGGCGTACTTTTTGCTAACATCTCAGCTCAACGTCTTGCAAAGAGTCAGGGATGCCCTTGTCTTAAAATTAAATTTGAGCCAAATTTACAGAGATGAATTGTTGGAACAAACTGCAGTCTTGGGTAAAAGTGTCTTGTAGAAATTGCTGAAAAGCAGTTTCATATTTCCACCTCACAGTGCAGTTCTTTAAGTGTTATGTTTTACAGCTGGAATATTCATAAAGAGATGTTTGTCTACATTATAGTGTCTTTTGTGGAATTCCTCTTTGTTACTTTATTTTTCCTTTTGTCCTAACAATGTAGCATGTAGTAGGAAAAAAAAAATATAAAATATTATTAGTGAATTACAAGCAATGGCATGGTTAGGAAGAATATCTATGCAATATAATGTGATATTACTTAAGTAATACAGATAACAGTTCAAAAACTCACAAGAAAAAAAACAAACCCTAAACCTCCATATCTAGGGTGAGTGGCTCTGGTAGGCAGCATGCGGCATTTTGCTCCTGTAGCTTGGGTCTATTTGCCTCATTAGAGTGATGTCAGGTCGCAGAGATTTAACTAAAAAAAAAAAAGATCAGTCACGCAAGTGAAGTTGTGTCGAAGTAATGCCCCAGATAAATAAAATAAGGCGCTACTGTGTTACAAATAATGTACATTGGGGGGAATGTGATATACTGTCGTAATTATATCACAAGTATTTCAAGAAAATGTGTTTAAATTTCTGATGATATCGGGTGGGCATTGATGCTTGCAGGCACCATGAAGTGCATTTTCCATCCTTGCGCTGCTGTCATTGATAAATCACTTGTTAATTTGAAGTGTGAATCTACTGGAAGGTCCCAGCAGCAGCAGCCATTACTCGCCTCTGATCAACTGATTTTCCATTACAGTTGAGTACCACTCAATTTGCGTGGTCTTCGTTAAAGCAGCGTGGTCACGTGTTCTTTGACGTAACTGGTATGCGACACGAATGCTACAAAGGTGGACATCGAAGCGATAATATACCCACAGCTCAGTCTGCGGCTTTTTGTCATACTCTGAGACCACAGCATTGTTTTTTGTAGCCATTTCCCTTGTTGCTGGGTTTCAAAAATGTCAGTTTTGATTTTCGTGACGCCACTGCATCAGCCAGTCGGTGGCATGGAGGACGTCACATTTTAGTACCTGCTGAGATCGCTTTGGAACCCCAGTCAAGCAGGTACTATTTTAGTACCAGGTACCATGACCCACTTGAAAACCGTGGCGAGTCGATCAGAGTAGATACTAATGGAAAAGGGGTCATAGAGTGCAATAGTAGTGACCCAAAGTAGTGTATTCCCTCTAAATTTTAAGGAAAAGCACAAAATAACTGTTGAACACTTTAGTTTAACAGTAAAGTAAAGCTCCATTATATTCTCACTTAAACTGAAAAGTTTTTTCTGACTGGGATTTTGTATCTTGGATCAAGTGTTTTAGTCATTTGCGTAAAGTGCTGCTTTTCCACCACATAACCATGTCGGTAATTTCCATTCACCGTTAGCTCTTCCTGTTATATGGAGTGTAGCTAGTGAGTGCTCCAGCAACGCGTGGTAGAGTTGTTTGTTTACATTTGGGTTGAACATTGCCAGCTGCCAACATCTCCTCTTTTCTAGCCCATTTGTATTGGATGGCAAAACAAATTTGCTGTTTTCACCTTTAGCAGGAGCAGTTTTCTTGTGTATTTCGCAAAGGTTGTTGAAGTCGTCCTTTACTGAAGTTGCTAATTGTTTTAGGAGGCTGACACTCAGCCTTTGCTCTTGTGGCTCCCTTAGACATGCCCAGGCTTGTCTTGTCATTGTGTGCGCTAGGGAGTGCATGGCGAGTGCATGCTATACCAGTGATATTGCGATATGACCTTTTTTGTGTTTTTAAAATTAAAAAAAAAAAAATTACACTGGCATTGTCACAGATGATATGTGGCACAGTCCTACTGTACATAGCGATTCAGTTGTAACTTAAAAAAAATCATGTGGTTTTGTTATTAAATGGTCCAATATGGGTAGAGGACAACAACCAAATTCTTTCAGCAGATAAGACAACCATTAAATGATAAGATTCTCATTTATTGGTCAAATATCAGCTAAGCAATCAGATATTATATTATAAGTTTATAGGTTTTTCCTGTCATTGGAATATCAGTGTTTATCAACAAACATATCACAGTGCACATCTCATAAGCTGGGAACAAGTTAATATTTGAGTTTACATGGAGACACAAGACTTTGTTACAATACAAATTATGACATTTTGCTGACATGTGTGACTAACAAATAAGATGCCCTGTGGTTAAATATAAATGCACCCAGTTAACTTTTATGCTGAGTGTTAGTATAATGTATAGTAACTTAATAAACAAATGTGATTCAATAAATGTGTGAGAATTAATTTGGGGTGTGATCATCCTGTGAGTGAGCCAGCATGGTTAAAGAACCCAAAGAACTGGACAGCCTAACTGTTTATACCTTAAAAATGTAGAACTAGTATAAATAAATAGTTCTGAACGTTAAAAGGGATTGAGTACCAGTTCTAAAATAACCACAGATCCCATTAGCCCTAGTTTGATAAGAGAGCATTTAGATCCAGACTAAACAATGGAATGTAGGTGACGTATGCTCTGATTGTGTAACATACAGTGACAGCGGATGACCATGGGTGTTCACTGGGACAAATCAAAAGATATTTAATTTTAAGTACTGCTTTTTCAGTAGTTGTTGGAATAATATCATTTTGCAATGACAGGTTAATTTTTTTTCCTCCTTCTCTGTTGGCTTAAGACATTAAGGTACTAAATTTTAACTATTTAGTTTTTTTCTTCTTAACTGACACATAAGTGAACCATGTTTGCTCATTAGCTCATCATCAGCTGATGAGCCCCAAAGCATTGCGGCTCAAGCATTTTCTTCTCCTCGTCTACTGCCTTGTTTCCTGTGCAGGATGTGCTTATAGCCAACAATCTCCCTTGCTTTATTCTACTGTCTTGTCTTGAGATTAAACCTTCATCTCTTGTCAAGCATAAACGAGTTTTAGTCTGGTTTATAAATTCTAACATTTTTTGTCTTTCAAACAATCCTGGGATACAGTTAGTGGTTAGTCTAAGCGTGTCATTAGATATGCAATAGGCATTTTCATGATTTTGGTCTGAGGACAGTTCAGTCTGTCATATTTGAAACTTTGGATACATGAGAGAAAATGTTTATAAGCACAAAGTGCTTAATGAATATGTGGCCTACATTGGTGTGGTTGGTGTCAGCGTTGCAGTGTTGGTATTATTTTTCTGCTGTGTAATGGCTTTTTCTCAGAAACCTAAGTGGGTCTCTTATCGTCTGCTGCAACTGTACTGAATGAGATTAAGGTCAGCATCTGGGTCACTGGCAGTAGGAAAGGAGATGCCTGTATTAGATATTACTATTACATTGTTATCATTTTAAACTGTACATTTTATAGACTAAAAAATCCATTTAAAGGTGTATTCTTTTATAGCATACTTCTACAACTTATATTGACACATTTCTTGCTTATATTTCATGGTATAGGAGTGAGTGGAATAAAATGTGATTTATTGCTTAAAATCTTCAAACAAATGTAACTTGTTTAAACTTGATTGGCATCCTACCCTGACTTTTAATTTGAGTTCATGTTAGATTATTCGATTAAACTACCTCCCCCACTCTTCTCTCATTCTTTTGCTTTAAGACAAAGGGTGCTTCCAAGACCATATATGTCAGCACTGTTGACAAGTTGACACACAGACTGCTATCTAGTTTTGCCCAGCTTAGGTATCTTGAGATCTTGACCAGTAGTTTACTTTGAGATGCATACTACCATTTCTTAGTCTCAAATTCCAAAATCAGATTTGAATTAGCACATTTGAACAATCAGCCCCCACTTGATAGAGTGCTCAAGTGCATCTTATTCACTGGTCTCTGGGAATAGAGATTAAAACAGGAATAAAATATTACTTTGTTTTGTGGATTATTAGGAAAATTATGAAGGTGACCCACAAGAAGGCTTGAGTCAAAAATGTATGTAGTAGGATTAAGCAGCCTTGCTGATACAGTGTGTTATGTGCTATTGGCAAATCGTACAAAATATTTACTTTAAAATAGTGTGGGGAAACCAGTTTCTCTAATTCTCGTAGTAATGCTGAACTATAGAAAATACCCTAGAATAGAGGTTGGAGTGCTCGAGTCGAAGGCAACTGAACTTTTAGGTTTTTGAAGACATTTTGCCTTTTTATTTTATTTATTTATTTAATTTTAAAAGCTTTCCTCACAGCTGCCCTCAACTGAAGCACTTTAAACTACTATGACTTAGATGACTGAGAACCTCCACAGATGACGTTTAGTCGTTCTCAAACATTTTCTTGCATGAGGGAAAAAAACATCCAGGCCCCATTCAGCATTGGGGCGAGATCATGTTGGATTTAAGTCAACTGTGCACAGTAGCATTGGCAAATTTGTTTGTTTCAATGGCGAAATAATTTTGTTTAAAAACCCACAATTATTCAGCTTAGATTTGCTTAATATTCCTCACCAGTCTGCTGGGGCTTGCCCCCAAATCTGTGAACCTTAGCCTTACAGTAAGAGTGCACCTTAATCTGTTTGATGACATTTTTTTCCCACAACCAAATCTTTTTTTTTCCCCTTAAATATAGTTAACTTTATTTTGTAACATTTTCCTTTATGTCTTTCTCTCCAGGGTGAGAGCAGCCATGTCAGAGGACGCAGTGCGTCAAACACGCAGCCAGAAGCGGGCTCTAGAGAGGGACCATGCAGCTATTGCTGGGTCCCTGGGGGACATGGACAGTAAACGTGTTAAACTGGAGAAGAGCGATGCAGCTGGGACCCCTCTGGCCCTTGTGGGATCTGGAACCGAGAGTGTCAAACTCAAGAGTGAGCAGGCTGCTAAGGTAGCAGCTAGCATCCTGAAGGCTGGTGAAGTGAAAGCGACCATTAAGGTGGAGGTGCAAACTGGAGATGAGCCTGTTGACATGAGCACATCCAAAAGGTGAGAAAAGTAAAAAGCTCAGAAAAGAAGTAATATTAACAGTGCTAATGTAGGGGCTCAGAGTTTGTTGGCTACAGGGAATGTACTCCTGTTTAGTTCACATTGTGCTGTTGCAGACATTAGTTTGTGATTTAAAAAGTGAAGTATTTAAAATGGAGCAATACAGATGTTTAGCTTCAATTAAACTCATAACAGGTGTGATTTATATTCGTCTTTCTAAACTGAAAATGAACTAATCTGTAATGACAGTTAAATTTTAATGTTTTTTAACTTTTTAGTCAGCGCAAAACTGATTTGACTCAATGATTATCGCCCACTGGTATCGGTAAGTGTTTATGACTTGCGTGTACACTGGGTCTTGAGTTTTGCATAGTCAGCCAGCTGTCTCCAAAGAAAACAATTTTCACGTATTTGCACTTTCATAAAATAGACCCTAATCATCAAAATGCAAAATTCTTTCTGTTTCCATTTGATTATGTTTAACTATTACTCAATCATCAAATGGGTTAAAAGGACAGTTGAGTTGGAGTACTCATCCACATTTTTTGTGTGCAAGATTGTTTGAAAACTTCTCAAGAGTTATTTATGTATTGTAGGCCCTGAAGTTCATGCCTTCATGCACAACGCAAGGTTTTGTGCTGAGACGTGTCGATTGGAGTTTCTCGTTTCTTTGCACCAGCAAGTGGTCTGACAGGAGTCATACAGGAAGTCGCTGTGTGGTTGTCGGCAGCCTGCCCCCATTTTGAAAACTTTGAGGCTCCTGAGGCCTGGGCTCCATTTTCTCCCACAGCAGCACCTGAACTCTGCCTCACACTTCACACAAAATGAAGGCTATGTGTCACAAACTGGTTCTAACTGGCCGTTGCCATGGTTTCCACGTTGGAAGGAGCAGTTGGAGGAAGGAGGGGCCAGGAGGGGTAGTGGGTGTGTCACATGACTACTCAGAGAAATGCCTGATGTCATGTGATGCGTGTTTGGTAGAGCGATAAATACACACACTGATCTGATGGCAGTTAAAGTGGAACAGGGTTGTGATTATGCTGAAAGTTTGTTGGCTCTGTCTGTGGTGCATCATAACGACACACAGGCGTCACCTTTGGCCCCCGTTTAACTCTCAGCATGCGTTTGTGTGCATACTCGCCGCATAATGATGATTTTATTGTTGTACTATATAGAGGACTTGGTGTGTCTTGGCAAGCTTTGTAAAACTATTACTGAAATGGAATGCAAACCACATCTTTCTTCGCCAGAGAAAAATATAGTAACTGAACTGAGCTGGACATCTTGGAAGTGTGCACGTATTCAGTTGGAAGAAAAAATAAGTTATGAACCCTTTGAAATGACCAGGATTTCTGAATCGATTACTCATAAAATATGGTCTGATCCTCATCTACGTCACAACTATTGAGAAACAAAACTTGACTAGACTTTGAAAAAAAATAATCTTTATTGAAAACACTGAGTCATCATTCACAGTGCAGGCTGGAAAAATCAAGGGCGCTCTTAAATTTAGTGAGCTTCTGATAGGGCTGCTCGATTAATCGAATTTTAATCACGACTACGATCTGGGCTTTCAATGATCATTAAAAATGACTGAGCCAATTATTAGCCCCTCCCTCGTGCTTTACTCTCGCACTGCTCCGTGTGGCAAATCGAGCGCACCTCTCTGCATTTCGAACACGTGTCACAACAATTAAGAGCAGCGGTCCCCAACCTTTTTTGCGCCATGGACCGGTTTATGCCCGACAATATTTTTAATGGACCGGCCTTTAAGGTGTTGCGGATAAATACAACAAAATAAAACTAGTACCGGTACCGAAAAAAATAAGATTTATTCATAACACACGTGAAAAGACCAAGGAAAACAGAGTAAACAATAACAAAATAACACCGAAAACCGATTAAAAACCCTGAAAACTATACATTTCACACCTGAGCCTCAACTCTCGCGGCCCGGTACCAAACGACTCACCCGGGGGTTGGGGACCGCTGATTAAGAGGACCCGAGGAAAGCTCGGAAAGCTAAGCAGAAGTTATTTAAAGAGGAGAGTGACTGCCATTGGTTGAAAAGAGAGGTTAAAAAAAAACTTCAGTGGTGTGGAAACATTATGGGTTCGCGGAGTCAGACATGGATCAAGTAGATTTTGCAGACTCATTCACATGATACACTATAATGAACTGGCTACACATGCGTTTTTCAAGCTCCTTCAGCACCACTTGTTCAGGGCATCTGTCAGCTGACCACATCCACAACCTAGTGTAGTCTTTAGGTCGGTGTTGGAACTCTTAACTTGGACAGTTCAAAAACACTGGTTTTCTTATCATGACCATCATCCAGCTCCTTTCTTAAGCTTCACATCATTAAATGCTCCTCTGAAATATGCTAAACTTTCTTGATTCAGTTGAATTCATTGTTCCCTAAAGAACTGAAGGGCATCCAGGCCCAGAAGTAGCAGTTCAGCCTCAACTAGGGCTGCTCGATTATGGCAAAAATGATAATCACGATTATTTTCACTGAAATTAAGATCTCGATTATTTGACGATATTTATTTAACAATAACAATGTATTGAATAATGACTTTAAAGATTGTCAAAAAACAATATAAAATAGTGTGCAAATAGTGATAACAGTGCAAATGTTTGCAATATAAAAAATAAATGAAAAATGTAAACATCTATGTTTAGTGAACTTGGCTTCTGTTGCTCTGTGGTGCAGCTATGACACTGTAGCAAAGTTTACACACTGTGTCTACTTGATCCACGTCTGACTCCACCTACCCATAATGTTTCCACACCACTGAAGTTTTTTTTTTACCTCTCTTTTCAACCAGCGGCCGTCACTCTCCTCTCCAAATAACTTCTGCTTAGCTTTCCGAGCTTCCCTCGGGTCCTCTTAATCAGCAGTCCCCAACCCCCGGGCCTCGGACCGGTACCATCGTTTGGTACCGGGCCGCGAGAGTTGAGGCTCAGGTGTGAAATGTATGGTGTTCAGGGTTTTTAATCGGTTTTCAGCGTTATTTTGTTATCGATTTTATCGTTTACTCTGTTTTCCTGGGTCTTTTCACGTGTGTTATGAATAAATTTTCTTTTTTTCGGTACCGGTACTAGTTTTATTTTGTTGTATTTATCTGCGACACCTTAAAGGCCGGTCCATTGTCGGGCATAAACCGGTCCGTGGCGCAAAAAAGGTTGGGGACCGCTGCTCTTAATTGTTGTGACACATGTTCGAAACGCAGAGAGGTGCGCTCGATTTGCCACACGGAGCAGCGCGAGAGTAAAGCACGAGGGAGGGGCTAATAATTGGCTCAGTCATTTTTAATGATCGTTGAAAGCCCAGATCGTAATCGTGATTAAAATTAGATTAATTGAGCAGCCCTAGCCTCAACCTTTGATCTTTTCACATTTTTAATAGTCAGAACAAGTTACTGGTTTTGGTGTGCCATGCCCTTGTTGATCCAGTCACATCATTGCCTTTTGAAGTTAACTTGAGACGTATAACAATGTAGTATTTTTGGAGAGCATAGACTTCCTTTGCGCCGTCCTTCCATTAACACCATTCTTATTCAGTGTTTTACTTAGCAAGGACATGTGAAGCCAAATTTTAGCAGCTCATAGAGACTTCTGTTTTGGGCGGAAGCTTGGGTTTTGTGTTTCTCTCCCCCCCCATTGATGAACATCCACATCTTTAGGGTGCTTTTATAGCATTTTTTTTTTGTCATTTTCATACCATACCAACTAGTCTTGGTTGGTTTTTTTTTGTTTTGTTTCATTTTTTTAGTATTTTTTTAATACAGAAGCAGGCTTCGACAGTAACCAGAATTTTTATAACTTTTACTTTATAGCCTTATAGCTTTTGCAGACCTTTCGACCAAGTTTTTGCTTGGTGTGTTCAACTTTGCAGTTTCACAAGTTTGTCCCTAAAGCAGGCATCGGCAGCCTTCGACATCAAAAGAGACATTTTAGCATCTCCTACCAAACAATCGGAGAAAAAAAAAGAGCAGCACATGTGAGTGATGGGTGGATGGCAGTAATTGGGAGAGGATGAATTAATGCATATACATTTTCACAGTTAACTCTAATTCTAACCCATGCCTCGCAAGGGCAGGTTGTCGACCTCTGCCCTAAGGTAAGGCATTACTCAAGTAGTTTGCATGCATGTTAATACTTCGTGTACATTATAACTATATGCCAATATTTGCGCACGTTGTTCTATTTGCTATTGTAATTAGCCATGGAATTTTGTTACCTTACGAGAGTCGTGCGTAGTCTGAAATGGCACTTGGCAGTATTGCATTGCGTTCTGAATGAGAATTCCACTGCACCTCATGACTGATTCAGCAGTCCTACAGTAGGTTCAGTGTGAATCTACGATTGGGAAGCCGAGCATTGCAGAAACCCTGGACATTACATAACCAAGTTGGTGTGTGTTGTGACGCTTGTGTAAGCTGTTCTCAATAGTTACTAGCTTGCAGTGGTTGGTGCTCTGTGTCATTTGGCAGAGCGACTAAGTCAGTCAAGGAGCTGGGTTGCCATTAAGCTTTTGTTTGAGAGGATGAAGCTCCCACCTCTCCTCTAGTGCCTAGTTATGTGTTGTGCTGTTTTTAAACATGTTGTATAAAAAGACAAGTAAACCTATGGGGAGAAAAACCTTGGCTGTGCTTAGGGAGGGTAATCTTTCTTGGAATAGCATTTTCTAAAACTTGCAGGTTATCTCATGTTCTTTTGTTGTTTTTTCAAACCAGATTTTAATGAATCCTGTCAGGAAAGTACTCTTTTAGGAGGGTTCGTGTTCTCGGCAGTAGCTGAATTTTCTTCCCCCCCGGTTTTTTTTTTGTTTTTTTGGGGGTTTTTTTTAATGACACCAAGTGTTTGTTAGGATTTGTGTTGTGATTGCTTAGTCTAAGGAAATGATTGTCCCATAAACAACATGGTTATTGCTTGCCTTATTGAACTGAGCGTGCAATATCTGCTGAGGGTTGTTGTCAGGGCAGCTGCCGTGAAGGAGGAGTAGATGGCACAGAAACGTGTCTGGAGACAGAAGTGAACAAAAGGAAGAGAAAAATGTGAAGGTCTGAGTCAGTGAGTTGGAGTATAAAAGATGAAGAAGTAAGTAAGGATGGGGGAGGGGTGCGTGAAGAAGTAACGGAGTAAGAGAGAGTGTACACAATAGGTTGGCTCCTGGCCATGTATATTCCCCTCCCCCTCACTGTCACCCTCTCCAGTGTCTCCAGCAGACCGCCGCTCTGCTCAGCTTGTGACTCTGATGTCGGCAGCTGGGAGGGAGGGGAGAGCTGAGGCCCAGGCTGTGCCGATCTGGCTAGGCCACAGGCCTCGCCACAGAGGTAGGGGAGGGGTGAGGCCTTGTCTGAGTGGCAAACTGGGTCTGCGCTTGAAGCCCTGAAGCCTCCAGCTTGACAGCAATTGAGCAATTACATAACTACACTGCATGTGTACATGCATAACTCCACAGTATGGCACTAACCACTACCCCTCACATAGTGTCATATCACAGCCCACCCTCCCTTAGTTCTCCTTACCACTGAGTCTTTTAGTACCTGACAGGCTCCCCACCGTGACAGAGGCAGATTTATTCTTCTGCCATGGTCCATGAGCTGTTAAATTACAACAACCCCCAACTTCTTATCTCCACCCTTCTGCAGACTCATGCAAATGAAGCTTTCCGCTAGTCGCCTTTGTTCTCCCTGGTGCTCAGGAAAAGCTACTTAACATCTCATCAAAAGTCTTCAGCCTTTTCTTCAATTTAAAAACAAAAAAAAATGCATTTAATTTGGCCTTTGTGTTGTTTGGGTGCAATCTTGCTGTTGGACGGGAGCGTTCAGGACTGTCGATTTTACCTTTCTTCAGAGATAATGGGTTGTTGCTTTCTTCCCCTGCCGCCATTACTCCATTATTGATCTCTTGCTTCTTTCCTTCTTGTGTGTCCTAGCACACATTCACACTACAACAAGGAAGGTAAACTTATAATTGAATACTACCATCTACTGGGTGAAAGACAAAACTACATTGTAACTACAGTTTTGTTTTTGTTTTTTTTAACACTAAAGTGTATCAAAGTATAATACAAAGCGGTCTCTTATTAAATGATCTTTCAATATTTCTCTCCTCAGCGACATTAAGAAAGAGCGACAGCCGCCCTCGCCAGATGATGTGATTGTGTTATCGGACAATGAGCCATCTAGTCCCCTCATGAATGGCCACTGCTTCTCAAAGACTGACACAGATAAACTTATGGTAGGAAAAAATAATTTATATATCGGTAACGATTCCTTTCTGTTTACTGATTTGAAACTCCATTTTCCAACTTTGTCCGAAAAACGATAGAAAAATGTATCACTTAAACAGATGCAGCAATTTTTGTTGACGCATTCTATGTGCTTTTATTTCAGTCATCTAATGTGTTGAGTTGGCCCAATTAATCTGTTGTGGAAAGTCCCAGCCTTATAATTGATTTCTCATTATTATCTTCTATGGCATTTTATAGAAGAGTTCACCTGAGGAAAGGGAGCGCATCATCAAACAGCTCAAGGAGGAACTAAGACTCCAAGAGGCCAAACTAGTGTTGCTGAAGAAACTACGACAGAGCCAGATCCAAAAGGAGAGCATAGTACAGAAGGTAACCAGACCTTTAACATTTTTTTTGTAGTTTTATCTGTGTTATTTTTGTATGAGCCAGTAGGTACAAGTAATTCTTATCAGACAAGTCCCATTCTTCTGATAGCCCTTTTCCACTAGTACCTACACGACTGTGTTTCGGTCATTTTCCTTTACAATGATCTACCACCTAATGAGCATAGGGTTGTTATAGCAGTGCGGCTGAAAGTCCTGTGAGGTCCTCCACAAAAAAGGACATCGAGGCTATGGTATATGGCTGCTCAGTGAATGGCTTTTTGTTGGGGACCACACTGTTTTGTTTTTTTTTTTTTGTTTTTTTTTGTTTTGGTTTTTTTTTTGGTTTTTTTTGGCCATTTACCTCGATACCAGGTTTAGAAAAGGGTGGTTTTGATTTTTGTGAAGGGAGACACATTCATCAGTAATTGCCTGACACCACTGACTAGCCAATCGATGGCATGCAGTCTGTTGACATCACATTTTCGGATGGCCTTCGATCACTTGGAACCCTGCCTGAGTAGGTACTAAAAGAGTACCAGGTACTACCACCTAATGGAAAACCCTAAAAACTGAGTCATGCCAAGGTGACCTGAGTTAGGTACTCGCGAAGAAGGGCTATTAATGTCTGTTTTACATATGATGTAATGTTTGTACTAAAATATTATGTTTTGTAATGCTGTTTCCTTAATGTTCAGGCTACTGGCTCTGTGGCTACTCCTCCCCCGTTGGTGAGAGGTAGTATTACATCAAGCAAAGGATCCCTTCAGGTAGCTACTCACTTATTCGTCCGAACTTGTATTGCAGAGTCTACAGTTGCACTAGTTGTTAGTGAACCACTTGGAAAAACCGGAAATTCTGCATTGACTGCTCTAATTATGTGGTCTTGTCATTAACCAAGTCACAGTTTGACAAACACAGTTTGAATAAAAAGGAATTGCAAGCAAGTTCTCTTTTCATTGTCATCAAACTCACTGAGTATTGACTTACAGTCCAGCCAGTTGGTGAGATACATGAATCTGAGGCTCAAAATGTTTTTTCACGACTTGGGCATCCATCTATTCACAATGAGACAAACTTTCTACAGTTGTTGAAAGTTCAGGTCTTGGTAGTCATTGTGCTATTATTCCACCAAGACCACAGCATGCAAATATGAAAGAACGTAACTGCTGAGACATGTTTTAAGTTCATTATAAAACACTCTTGGGACTGCGTTCTTTGGGCAGATGAGTGGTTTGGAGAGGTTGGATGACATATCAAGACAAGAAAGCACACAAGTTATGGTGCGGCATAATCTAGTTCTTTGAATTACTAAATTTAAGAGTTCACCTACTCTGTACAACAGTTCATGTGCTGTTTGTTTATTCACATTGTATTTGGCTGTTATTGTAATATAGACGATCAGACCAGAGTTGTTAGTTGACAAACTTTGTCTTGCAATTGTGTAATTGCATGTAAAACTACAGAATATTATAGCAGTGATAAGACATATAACACACACGGCAGACAGTTTACTACTTGTGTGGAGGAAGGCCATTCAGTTTTGATCAATTTGTTTTTACTGTACAGGTGACGGGTCGCAGCTCAGGCACAGTGATTCCCCCTCCCTTGGTGCGGGGTGGCCAACACATCCCGTCCAAACACAACTCTCAGAGTGTCATGCCCCCCCTGGTCAGAGGAGCCCAGGTTAGTGTTTTGGAAGTATATAGAACCTTAATTTTTTTTAATTTATTCTTCTGTTAACTAACTTTAAGGTTCTTGGTTGATATATATATATATATATATTTTCTTTTTCCTTCTCGCATCTCTCCATGATTTTTGTGGATAGTTGTCCTCTCTAATGTCTGTTTTTGTGTGTCCATTGGTGGCTATCAGCCTATTGCAGTGACTCCCCAGCAGATAGCCAGTCTACGTCAGCAACAGCAGCAGCATAGCGGCTCAGGGCCCCCTCCACTCTTGCTGGCTCCGAGGGCTTCTGTGCCCAATGTCCAGGTCCAGGGCCAGAGGATCATTCAGCAGGGACTCATTCGGGTGGCTAATGTGGCCAACAGTAATGTCATGGTCAACATCCCTCAGGTAAGGTGCATTTAGCATAGGTCTGCTAACTATGAAAATGGTGCCTTCATAGTCATTTGTAACAGGATTTTTTTTCTTCTTCTTTTTGGTGTCTAGGCCTCTCCAACCAGCCTAAAGGGCTCTTCAGTCTCACCCAACTCTAGTGTCAATGACTCTCCAGCCAGCCGGCAGGCAGCTGCTAAACTTGCACTACGTAAGCAATTGGAGAAGACGCTGCTCGAGATCCCTCCACCAAAACCTCCTGCCCCTGATTTCAACTTCCTGCCTTCTGCAGCCAATAATGAATTCATTTATTTGTTGGGCTTAGAGGAAGTGGTGCAAAAACTTCTGGAGATGCATGGCAGAGGTGGGTACATGTTTGCACTAGTTTGGAGATGTTACAGAACAGCAGTAGATCTACCTGCAGAATGTTATAGTATGAAACCTTGTCCAAAAAACCTCTGCGTTTACCATGGGTCTGTTATCCATAATGTAGGTAATCTTGGCCCAGCTGCAGCAATGGCCAGCTCCGTTCCCAAAGAGCCATACACCTGTGCCCAGTGTAAGACTGACTTTACCTCTCGCTGGAGAAAGGAGAAGGCTGGGACCATCCTCTGTGACCAATGCATGTCGTCCAATCAGAAAAAGGCCCTAAAGGCCGAGCACACCAGTCGATTGAAGGCAGCCTTTGTCAAAGCACTCCAACAGGAGCAAGAGATTGAACAGCGTATCCTCCAGCAGGCAGCCTCCTCTTCTTCCTCCTCTGCTTCCTCAATCTCTAAATCCACCTTGTCCTCCTCACTGTCCAAAAATGAGGTGCTGGTCTCCCACCACTATAAGCAGGTCAGGGCTGCCATGCAGCACATACCTGTGTCTACTCACCACTCCAGCATTAAGCAGGTAAGCATTTGACTGTATTGTTGAACGACCAGGCTTGTAGTTTAAATGTTTTTCCACAGCCACAATGTTGGTTTAATGTAATGTAGTGCAGCTGCACCAAAACTCTGATCTTTGTGTGTCTCTACAGGGTCATCTGTCACACCTCCAGTCTGCAATTAACGCTCGTGGTGTGGCCCACTCCTTCTCCTCCTCACAGCTGCAGAATGCTGTGACGGCAGCAGCACTGGGTAGTAGGTCCGGTAAGCATGCTGCAGCTCGCTCGTTGCAGCAGGGGGCAAAGGTTGGTGCTGGTGGCAGTGGTAACCAGGGCAACGTGGCTGCCTGGAGGAAGCAGACCGGTGGCAATGCAGGTATATAAACCGGAGACAATTATGTAGAGAATGCACTTCAAATGTTCTTACATTCTACTCGTCTTTGGAGTAATCGCTCTGTTGTAAGGTTGAGTTGTACTGTTACTTTTTGTTCTTCAGTGCCATTCCTTCTGGCATCACCTTTTCATTTCCGTATTTCATTGTAGTGCTTTTCAGGTGTTTGCTTATGTATTTGTACCTTGACAGGTGTGACCATGGCCTACGTGAACCCCAGCTTGTCTGCTCATAAGACCTCTGCTTCAGTTGAGCGTCAGCGAGAATATCTTCTGGACATGATTCCCTCCCGCTCCATCTCCCAAGCAGCAAACGCATGGAAATAATGCAATCCCACTCCCTTTGACACCATAACGTTTAGCTCCCTTAACATCAATAACAGCCATTCACATTATTGTTCTAATTCTTTCTATGGATTCGGCCTCTGGCCAAAACGGTGCAGAATTGGCCTCTTCTTGTTGGATAGAGGTGTCCTTACACCTTTCACCATATACTTCTGCTACCTTCTTCCTTTTCTGAATCCTTCCCCCATTGGAGTTGTGCTGTGACAGCTTCAAGATACAAGGAATATGTTAAATATAAAATGGGTACCCTTTCAGAGGGATATGGATGACGTGTGTACAATTTTACAGACTTCTTCAGTGATGTTGCCTCTCCCCTTCCCTGTATATTGGTTGAACCTTCCAGTTGCACCAAGAGGAAGTTTCCGGAGAATCCCTGAGCTCCTCTGCCTCTGGATTAGGCAAGGAAAAGTAATAAATACTATTACCCACCGTAAGAGATTCGTCTTACTTCCTGCCCTTGTCTAGTCTGAACCAGTCAGACTGAGGCTGTGGTTGCCAAACTGAACATAACTGAAGACCTCATTACAGGAATTGTTGAGCTTTGAGGACCATCCACAAAATAAGAACTGCTTCAGCTTTGCAAAAATGAATAAAGTTTAAAAAAAAAAAGAAAAAAAGAAAACTGGAGGAAAAAAAAAAATCTATCTACACACAGACTGCCTCTTCTCTCAAACCTACAGCGTGTATAATAGAGAAGTTGATGTGTGTTGGATTATTTTGTATGGCTGAATGTTAGGATTTTGTCTTTTCTTCTGTAAGTCATATACTGTGTTTGGAATATTGTGCTCCCTGATACTTTGGAAGTGGCCTCATGTCGAGGTCTGAATTTAAAGGCTAATGTTACTGTTGAGGTGGTTTTACATCTGCTGGGTTCCATGTTGCAGCCTACTTTTAAATGCTTTGTTTTTTCTAAGATCAAGAGAAAGAATAAAAATTAAGGTTTCACTGACTCGTTAAAAAAAGAAAAACATGGGGCATATTCTTAATGAATATTGTAAAATAAACCTTCCAAAGAACTAGTGGAGCCCAAATGGAATCCCTTCTGCTAGAAGGTTTCTAGTTTATTTGAACCCTCTCTGAATATAAACATGAATTCATGCTAAACTGAGGGGGTGTAAGGAATGTCATATTTTTGACATTATTTTTGCTTTTAGTCATAGGTTGTGGTGCATCCCCCCCCCCCGCCCCCCCCCCTTCTATAGACAAACTATCTGAATTTATTTATAGGGTTAGTAAAGACATATGCGTATGCCCTAAGTTTGCAAGGATCTTCACTTAGAATTTGTTTTCTCTTGTTTGTCAAGTGGCTCCCACATACCCTATGATTGGTCCAAGAGAAGCTGGACAGCATTCAGAATGTAGTTATGCAAAAACCCCTATAGCAACAAATGACATGAACTTCTAGTCTTTAACATTAAAGTGTGTGTGATTTCTGTCAGGTCATTGAATTGAGCTAACTCTGCCTTTCACATGAGCTATAGTGCATTTCTATCAGGTTGCAGCAGCACAGGATAAGCTAGTGAAGTACAATATGTCTACATGTAAAATGGGAATTTTCCATTGCATGTGGACTTCTGTTATTTTACTACCATGTGTTGTCCCCCCCCCCCCCCCTCTTTCATTTCAACCCCTGGGGTGGTCCAGGTTTCTCCACTTAGCAATGATTTTACAGGCACTTTTTGAAAAATGTCTCTAAATTAAAATGTAAAAATGTTGTCTTAAGTTTAATCACAGAGGTTTGTTTAATGAGAAGTGGTATAGCCATCTGACAAGCTGAACACCCCAGCAGTGATTTTTTTTCCCCCAGCTTCCTTTATCTTTTATTTTACACTTTTCACGTAGAAATGATCCAGTTATGTCTTCATTGATCAGAACTCCCAGTCTTACAGGCCCGTTGCTTCACTCTGGATTTCATCAATACAGATGTAATGGTTTTTTGTTTTGTTTTTTTGTGTTGTTGTTGTTTTTTTTTTTTTGTTTGTTTGTTGTTGTTTTTCTAATGGCATAAGGATGTGAGTCCTTTATTCATGTCCATATACTCTTCAGCTCAGAAGTTTTTGTCAGGTGCCCTACTGGTATGTGCTGCCAGCATTAGGTAAATGAACATCCTTTGCGCTGTGTTATCACTGTACACCTGGGTTTCATTTAGGATGGTGCACCAGTACACTGCTGATAGAAGTACAGGAATATAGTTTCTAACTTGATTTGCTCAAGATCTCGTATTTCTGTCTCAAAGTAGCATCAGAAATATTCCAGGTTATCTGCACATTCCTGACAGGCAGAAGATAGCGGTCCACGTCTTGTGGATGCGAAAGAAAAGCAATCGAAATAAGCCCATCACTTCGTGCCCTGCTAAAAGTAACCCTGCGCTGTCCTGACTACTGCCGCCTGCTGCTGCTGTTTGACAACATCACCATTCCGTTTATTTGGGGTCGACGCGCTGTTAAATGAAGTGCTGCCCAAATGAAAAAGAAAACAGTGTGAAAATGTTTTTTGGGGTTTTTTTGATTTTTTTTTTTGATTTTTATTTTTTTCTCCTGCTCTATCAAATAATAAAACTAATTTTAATCCCTCTTTCATGGCTGGTTGACCTGTTTATTTGTGGTGTAAATCAACTTCTAGAACTGACTGCATATAAACGATAATCAATGAAGCTAAAAAGCACACATTAACATAGACACTGTGTGTGTGTGTGTGTATGAAAACTCAAAGATAAATATAACTAAGTGACCTCTTCCTTCGGTTTGACAGCTTACAGTCAACAATTGCTGTTCTGCTAGTGGCCACTTGAGGGCGACTTTAGAACAATCCCTATACACCCAAGCTAAAATGTTGATTTTAAGCAGCACAAGGCTGTTCTTTTAGAATACATTACACATTGCAAAAACCTTTTAAATGCACAAAGTTAAAAAGGTCAAATTCCTTTTGAAGTCGATGTAAAATTCCAGTCAAAAATTAGTGAACTTTCCCCGACAGATAACACCGATGTTAACCTGTCTGGTCTTTTTTTTTTTTTTTTTTTTTGCTGCTGGTGGGCAGACCGAATGAAGTAAGCTGGCCCTGTACTGTATATACTTGGTATTGGATCAATAAGAAAATTTGCAGTATGCCACAGCAATATTGTTACTGCCCTCAAAATGCCAGGAAATATAATGCAAATTGAAACACATGTGTTCAAATGAATATTTAATTTACTAAAAATATTGTCAGATGGTTCAGTAAATACCAAATTCTTAAAGAATTTGAGTTTTTTGGTAATTTTTTCATGGTTCAGGCTTTCAAAGGTTATTGCCCCCTTTTTTTGCTGCTATTGGGCTGTTATTGCTATATTAATTAAGACCACTAGGGGACAGAGTTTACCAACATTCCTTACGCCCAGGTTTTCCCTTTGTTTTCCTCCTTGGAATTTGTCGTTATCTTCCTAATAGGTACATTTATGCAGCCTGAAATAAAATGCAGGAGAATAATTCTGTAATGGAAAAGAAATACAGGCGTCAGTCTGTTAACTGAGCTGTAAGGAGTCAGAAAGTCCGGGCAAAGTGAAGGGTGAAAAAGGGAGAGAGACCTTTAAAAAAAGAAAGTGGGCTATTGTTTATTACCACAACCCACTCATGAGCCTCATTCCTTGGCAACCACAGGTTCTCCTTGTGATACTGCTATACATATCCCTTCTCTGTGTGCATGCGCAGCTCTGTGTAAATTAATAGGTTTGCATTTTCAACAGGTTTACATTTTATCAGCTGCTTCAGATTGATATCAAGATGCAGCATTTATTAGGTCCTAACTATCACTCTGATAATATCACCTATGATTAATGCCGGAGCTGCAAAAATACTGCTGTGTAGCCACGTTGGCATTAAAGTGTTATTACTTCAGTTAAGGTAATAGATTTAATTTATCTCTCACCACCACGTGAGAGATGGTAGTGTTTGTGATTCACGGAGCAGTCGAGTGTTTCCTCACTCTGGTGCTTGCTCTCGATTCTCCATCAAGGGATCCTTTGGCAACCAGGGAGTATGCATGGACGTCTTTGTGCTTTTGTGAATTTAGGGGAAGTGAGGGAGGCTGTTGCACCGTCGATGACTGAAAAGCTATGATCGTGGCAGCCCGAGCCAATCAGCCAAGGAGCACCATGCCTCCTGATTCTTAATTGGCTGGGTTTCCCGGCAAGCGCAGCTGATACACACAGCCGGCTGGTTTTATCAGAGAACAAGTCGGGGCCACAGTGGGAAGGAGAGAGAGACAGAGGGGAGAGGCAGAGATACAGAGACAAGATTCAGTATGTGTGTGTGTGTGTGTGTGTGTGAGTGAGTGTATCTAGCAGCCAGTAATTACCATCCAGCGCCTGAACCAATCAAGAGCCGTAGAGAAAGATACAGAGGGAGGAAGCCCCTTTCGATTCTCAGTCTATTCCCAGGCAAAGAAGTAGTCAGTGTGTCCACTGAATCTGAGTCAGACAGAAGGTACGCAAGTGTTTTCTTTGGAGCGGCACAGCTCATCCCTTCTCATATTTGCCGAGTCCTGCTGGGTGAAAACAGATGGACAAGATGAACCATAGCTCAGCTGAGGCAGAGGCTGAGACCATAGAACCACTGCGCTATCTCAGGTAGGCACCAGCTCTGTTCTGTTGCTCTTTTACTGCTTCGTCTCTGCTTCGAATTCGTGTCTTTTAAATTTCCTTCCACACTGTTTACTGTCATCACTTCAGGAGCACAGTGTGAGAAAGACATACGATAGTGACAGGCAGAATTAGCAAGCAAAGATGGAGTGAAACATCAAAGAGAAGGCATCAATGTATTGATTTGAATCTTAGTTTTTATTAATGTTACAATTTGTTCAGGACAAGCTGCTGAAAGATACTTAGGGAACTAATGAGGGCAATCAATTACAGTCACCAACAGTGGAAATTATAGTTAAAGTAATGATTAGGGGGTCCACCCCAGGAAACTTTTATACTGCTTTGCCCGTTGTATATTTTCTTCATTGCTCTTCCAGTCAAGCATCAAATCAAATTACTACAGATATAGGCTATTATTTAATTAGAACACCCGCGGTTAATTTAGACCAAGCAAAGCATCTTATTATTCTGTGTCCTTGAGGATAAGATGTGTAATCTTGTAATGCAATTTAAGGTTAGTGTAGTAATGCTGTTCTCTTTGCTACCTCCGTAGCATCACTTTTACTGGCAAATTGGAGATGGGGGAAAAAATAGTAATACTTACTGTATCATGGGCTTATGCTGTATTTGGGGTTTATAGACATGTGCTCTGCCTCCTTGCCTTTTTTCACATAAGGCACTTTTCATGTAGGCTGCATACAACCATTATAAATCTGGAATCATCTCTAACCCTCCGAAGACTGGAGGACACTTTAGATGTTTAGACATTTGTCTGGATGTTTCTGTTTGTCAATTGTAATATCTGGTCTGAGAGCTACAGCAGTACAGCAACAATGCTCACTTAAGTTTAAATTAACTCAAATTAAATACTGATAACTGAAATATATGAACTAGTTCTCTATGACAGCCACATTTAACAAGGAGATCCTTTACTTAATCTTCTGAAATAAAGAGTTGGGCTTTCTGGAGGAATTCTAGGCTAGTTTAAATCTTGTATATCAGAGTCAGGCATTCATCTGAAACATCAAACATTAACAGCGGTCAAGCTGTATAAGTCCCTGAGGCAAGATGGACGAGCATCCTTTAAATGGCACAGCCTAACTCACTATTGAGCTGACCATGCCCATCCCCTTTAGAATGTAACTTTTGCTGTCTGCTTCACGCTGAATAGCATGTCATATTGCAAAGTTAATATAATCTCAAAACTGGTTTCTCGAATATGAGTTCAATGTACTCAAATGGCCTTCACAGTCATCAGGATGTCAACCCAACAGTGCTGGGAAATGGTGAAACAGGAGACTCAGATCATGTGCAGCTGACCA